GTCTTACAGAGTTGTACAGTCAGTCCTATGGGGTTGTACACTCAGCCTTATAGGGTGTACACTCAGTCTTACAGGAGTGTACCGTCAGTCTTACAGGGGTGTGCAGTCAGTCTTACAGTGGTGTACACTCAGTCTTACAGGGGTGTACAGTCAGTCTAACAGTGGTGTACACTCAGTCTTACAGGGGTTGTACAATCATTCTTAAGGGCTCTACAGTCAGTCTTACGGGGTGTACAGTCAGTCTTACAGAGTTTTACAGTCATTCTAAAGGAGTTGTACAGTCAATCTTACAGTGGTGTACAGTTAGTCTTACAGTGGTGTACGATCAGTCTTACAGGGGTGTACAGTCAGTCTAACAGTGGTGTACACTCAGTCTTACAGGGGTTGTACAATCATTCTTAAGGGCTCTACAGTCAGTCTTACGGGGTGTACAGTCAGTCTTACAGAGTTTTACAGTCATTCTAAAGGAGTTGTACAGTCAATCTTACAATGGTGTACACTTAGTCTTACAGAATTGTACAGTCAGTCTTACAGGGTTGCATAGTCAATATTACATGGGTGCACAACCTTACAAGTCTTACGGGGTTGTACAATCATTCTTAAGGGCTCTACAGTCAGTCTTACGGGGTGTACGATCAGTCTTACAGAGTTTTACAGTCAATCTTACAGTGGGGTACACTTAGTCTTACAGGGTTGTACAGTCAATCTTACAGTGGTGTACACTTAGTCTTACAGGGTTGTACACTCAGTCTTACAGGGGTGTACAGTCAGTCTTGAAGGGTTGTACACTTAGTCTTACAGTGGGGTACATGCAGTCACTCTTACAAGGGGTGTATAGTCAGTCTTAAGGGGTGTACAGTCAGTTTTACAGGGGTGTACAGTCAGTCTTGAAGGGTTGTACACTTAGTCTTACAGGGTTGTACACCCCTTCTTACAGTGGTGTACAGGCAGTCTTACAGGGTTGTACACTCAGTCTTACAGGGGTGTACAGTCAGTCTTGAAGGGTTGTACACTTAGTCTTACAGTGGGGTACAGTCACTCTTACAAGGGGTGTATAGTCAGTCTTAAGGGGTGTACAGTCAGCTTTACGGGGATGTATAGTCAGTCTTACGGGGTTGTACAGTCAGTCTTAAGGGGTGTACAGTCAGTGTTACAGAGTTGTACAGTCAGTCTTACAGAGTTGTGCAGTCAGTCGTAAGGGGTGTACAGTCAGTCTCAAGGGTTGTACAGTCAGTTGATGTAAGTTAATCCAACCGTAGAAGGTTACCGACAGTATTACCTGAGCGTACTGTCAGTCGTACATCAGTGATCAATCAAACATAATTATAAAACTGATATATCACGGCGGGGGACACCAGAATTGGGCTTCACACATTGTACCCATGTCGGGAATCGAACCCGGGTCTTCGGCGTGACGAGCGAACGCTTTAACCACTAGGCTACCCGACCGCCCCCCAGGAATGCGGAAGTAGTCCGTCAGTGTTTACGTCATTTCAAGAACACGGCCTCGTGAAAAAAACGTATGGACGTCAAATTGTGTCATTCATACACTTATGAACGCCAATTTCGCGGTCATATGACCGACCTCTTGTCCAAACGAAAAAGCCCTATATCGTATAAGCTTCAAATTAAAAAATATATAGGAAAGTAATGCATTACTGTCTTGGTATTCTGACAAAATCAAGTTGATTTTGATTTTGTTGAAGCAGTTCTAAAATCTGTAAAACGTTCCACCGCCGTAACAGAAACGTAGTTACAAAACGTGTGATGTCCGATCATACACAACGATGCACAATTTTTCATAACGTAAATGTGCATCGTTGTTATAGTTTTGTGAAATAACATTGCACGGTGACGTTATAATAATGTTGTGACAACGTTGTATCACGACGTTACTAATCCACAACCTTACCACAACGTTACGACAACGTAGTGTGTTAGCTGGGAAGGGCGGGAAGAGTGGACTGCTGGAATGATGTCATCTTGAATTAGAAATTTCTCCACGAAAAAGTCATCAATGTCATAATCGAAATGACCAGAGGCTCCACTGATCATGTCGAACAACTCTCCGTTAATTTAAGCGCCACACGAAAATGTTTTGTTGCTCATACTGAAGACAAGCGAACTTGCAAAAGTACTTGACAGTAGTCTGTTGTCTTAAGCAGTCATTCAATTCGGATGTGCGCTCGGTCGTAATAAGGACAAAGAAACGTTTTAGAAAGTAGAAATCCGAAGTTCAGTCCCCAAAATACCATTCACAGCATGCTATTAAAATAGTATTCACGAAAACAATTCTTTAGTAATAGAAACAAATTAATTTATTCATTCATCGAGAATCATACCCCTAGACCAACGAGCCGCATTGATGGAGTTTGTGTCTCAATTGTTGTAGTATCATAGAATGATTAATCATATCTGAACCATACTGGTAATGTGCCTGAAAATGGTAAATTATCAGATAAACGTCTGGCAGAGAAACTGGCCATATTGTTGATGCTTACATCAGCAAGTCGATCAGCTGAACGTACTTCCATGAACATAAAGTTCACATCTGACAAGGGCGTCAAAGTTGTCTTCCTTTTGACAAAGCCCTCAAAGGTCTCTAAGCCTGGGTCAGAACCTCATAAGTTGACCATACAAGCTTATCCTGAGAATCATTTGCTCTGTGTAGTGCATTAAAATAATGTGTGAATTGAAATTATAATTTCATTAATAAAAAGAAGTAGATGTGATAGCCCCAACCTTGAGTTTCCCTACCAAGCTTGTATTTTGACTGAATTTTTGTGTCTCCTTACGGGGGACGCCATTAGGAGTCCTGGCTGAAATTCCCACATTCTAGATGTACAGCTTGGACCAACAGTATCCGTCCGGTTGCTGTCTCAGAGGAGACTGTTGATTTTGTAGATCGCGTTCGGTCGAGTACACAGATTTGTATTTCTGGGTTACTTGTAACCTTAATTTGGGACATCCCAAATAATTTTTGATTGAGGCTCTTTTCTTAGTTGTTTTTAGCACTTCGACGTTATATAGAAGGGCATATGGGTAATTTGGTCTCGCTCTCGTTTTTCGAGATCGTAGCCTTTGAACTTGGCCTGGTTGTAGCATGAGCTGATGAAAACACCGCTATCACATCTACTTCGTTTTATTAAGGAAATAATAATTAATTTTAATTTAAATTCTCACATTACAAGTGCTTTTGAAATTAACAATTACTGCTACCGTTGCACCTAATAAAAGAACATGGTTATTAAAAAAATCGTTTCCGAAGCAACGTGACACGCGTCATAAGTTCATTTATTATTATATTTATTCATTCTAGACTAGTACAAAGTGAAATATGCCATAAAATAACTCACATAATTATTGAAAGTCATTTTTTGTTAAATGTTATATTATATTTCCTACGCCCGCGCTCTTGTTAGTTGACACACATATACATAAATATGGATGGCCATATGCAAATGATACTTGGCATGCCACAAAAAGGAATCAACAGCGAATTAAAATCTGGGTCACAGAGGACCCTCAGAATGACATGGGCACGAGGAGCTTTCGGAAAAGGGTGACCCTGCCAAAACACATTGCTACTTTGCAATGAAAACATGTGGAAACGACAAAACCTACCCTCATCACTTGAAAATATTTTTTACGATTACCAGGGTTTTGACGATCATTGTCATCCAGATTCCAGATGTGCGCAAGACGAACAGGACGAAAAAACACACTGTTGAAATCACCGATTGCCGTGGATATTTTAAGAAATCCTATTTATAAACTGCAAATTTACCGACCGTACACCATAGGATCACGTTTGGTGACGTGACACATATTATGGTGAATGTTTCATCAGCACTGCTATTATTCATCACGATAAACTTATTTCGTTCTCGTCCAGAGAATACAAACGCGGGACTAATTTAAAATTGGATTGGAATGGAAACATCAATCGTGGACGTTCCACAGTAACATTTTATGATGATGTGACTGAGTGAGTGAGTTGGGTTTAACGCCGCTTTTAACACTTTTCCAGTTATATAACAGTGTGTCAGCTTAATGTGGGCGGAAAGCCCGAAGTGATCTCAGGTCTCAGATGTTTACCACGGTGAAACCCACGCGGTATGGTGCATAGCAACCTAGAAACATAATCGGGGCGAACCGGGATTCGAGGCCACAACCACAGGTTTCTGGTGTGCCCAAGGGACAGCGAATCGCGGGCCTTAGACGACTGGGCCACCCGTGTCCATGAAGATGTGAAGACAAACTAAAGTTTGTTGAAACGTCTTGCTCGATGCTCATGATGTCAATCACTGGGTTGTCTGGTTCAGACTCGATTATTTACAGACTGCCGTCATATAGCTGGAATATTGCTAAATGCGGCGTTAAACAATAAACGATCAAATAGTAAGCACTACAATCTGCAAGCTGAATTCACGATGAACTCTATCCATGAAAAAAAAGGTCAGTGCAATGCAACCTCTCTTGGAAGTTAACTATTTATCAAAACAGCTCCAAGGTTATTTGTTGGTGTGGCCAGTATTATTGTGTCACTAATGTTTAAGGTAGTGAAGACACGATACAACGTCAGAAAAACTTAATAAAATTGACCGCGAATAAAAAGATTTACATGAATAAGTAAAAGAGTTGGGCTCGTCCGGGATTTGAACCCGGGACCTCTCGCACCCTAAGCGAGAATCATACCCCTAGACCAACGAGCCGCACTAATGTAGTTTGTGTCTCAATCGTTGTACTATCATAGAATGATTAATCATATCTTTCTGTTCTTCTTTTACGATCTAGTCGCCATTTAGAATATAATTTAAATAAATAGCTAACATAATCTTATAGTAACACTATGATAATTTTTGATTACCAGAAACAAGTACTATTTCTACAGCACGATGTAGATTGTCGTTCTTTGGAGAACTCTTCTTTGTTGAAGCGCAGTTTGGTCGCAAAACTCCCTACACAGAAGTAGGAAGTGCTACCTCCGTTGACTTCAGGCAACATTAATCCATAGTGGATCGCGAGCTTCTCGTGACAACACGTTGCTCTTCCTGATACGAATACAGTTTTCGTATTTGGATGATATATAAATTTATGGATATATTTATATAAAATTTAATCGAAGAGGTCAATAGGTGTATGTTTGCATTCGGCCGGTCAACTATGGCAAGTATCGATAATCTAAAGCTGCGAATTGCGGAACTGGAGGGTGAACTTCAACGAGAAAGAGGAAGAAACCAAACAGCTGTTCGTCAGAAGATTCCGCAAATGAGTTCGGAAGTAGTTGACAGCAACCCATACAGGTCAGGTGGAGAAACTAGACCATTAAGCTCTGGTTCATGTAATTTTGGAATGTTATTCTGTGTATGGGGAAGGCTACCGGTGAAGGGACCACCTGGTAGGTATTAAGTTAATGGTTATTGTGTTATTGTGTGTTTTTTAAACCATAAAACAATAATTATGAGGAAGTTACCATGTGGTCATCTGCATATGTCTTGTGACATTGGTGCACTGGTGCATCATAAGCTTTCATACGAGAAACATTCGCATTCATATACATTTATATACCACACTTATCCAAATACTAGTATCTGCGCAAATGCTGTTTAATTGTTCCTCAACCAGACTCGAGGGTCCTTGATAGAGGGGGTCCTATAAGCAGTAAGCAGTAAAATTTAGGGTACATTTTCATTAAGCAGAAAATTCCTAAATTGGCCATGGTGGGACATGGGACTTTTAATTCTGCTTTCGTTTCATCCTGACAATTCATATTTCTAATACCTGGTAAAATCTCAAATCGCTAAACATTCTAGACTGGTCCCCTGCGTCAGTTGCGCAGCCTGCTTTCTGTGGAGAAGCATTTGGGTCTTGAAGACAGACTGTTTTTAACCATTTTAATCATTTTTACGATAAGCAGTAAATTATTTATTTACGTTAAGCAGTTATTTTTTGTTATTTTACGTTAAGCATTAACAATAAAAAAAGATGAATTTTACGTTTACGATAGTGTTTGAAGTGTGTTTTACATTAAGCATTAAAACCCATCAGGACCCTCAGTCTCCGTATGCATCTCAGTTATCATTCTAGCTGCCTATGGGCTCTAGAGGGTTTTTACATCCTACTCACATATCAGTACCCATTCTCTAATGGGTGAACAGAGGCACGTTTGAACTAAGTCACTTCCCCCGGGTGACACCACACATTTATAATACCCATATCTAAAACACTTTTTATACCTATCGGAGAGGTGCATTACAATGTTTGATTTCAGTATTTGGATTTTCTGATAAAATACACCTTTTTTGCATATTTCTTTACTTAGAAGTATTTTACCGAAACATTTACATACTCACAGATGAGGTTCAGTGCACAGTTTAATTTTGATATTTGTATTTTCTCCAAAAATATGATGGTTTTTAATGTAGTGAACAGATAAAAAATATTTTGCTTCAGCATTTGTGCGACCTATAACATGAAAACTACTTCGTGGATTCTTTTCCAATTGGGGGTACAGTTTATATCCTAATACGACAGGTGCATTGAGCATGTTGAGAAGTTTTGTTTTCAGTATTTGGATTTTCTGAAAAAGCCCAGATTTTTCTCACTTAGAATTATTTTACTGAAACAATGGGGTGTGCGACCTATAACTAAAAAACTGCTTCATAGATTCAAATTTAGAGAATAGTTTCCATACTAATAAAAGAAGTGCAGTGCAAAGTTTTGTTTTTGATATGTGTATTTTCTGAAAAATATATGATTTTGTTCATGTTTTGTACCGGTCACTAGCGGAATACGCTCCCATGCTTACTACTGGTCCCATCATTGATATACTGTTACAGCTTATATCTAAACTTTCATTTGCAAAACATTCAGGCTGACCCACATGAGAATCATGTGTCTATTCTTAAACAGAAATTGTACTTAATTGGTCACCTTGACTACCATTGTGTAAATATTCCACCCTCCATCATGTCCATTGTCCAGTTTTACTGCACTCAAAAACGTCTGTGTCTGTTTCCCTGTGAGGTTTCCTCCCCAACCTTTTGATGATGCTTGTCTGATGCCTACGCCATGTACTTGCACTCCCTGGTTATGTTGTAGTGCTTGCCCCCATACCTACTTCTCTTCTGACAGGCCATTTCTTTCACTTTTCTACTGGGTTGTGATTCCGCTGTGATCCTTCTTCAGTAAGATTGTTTGTGTTGTACTCATCAGCCAAAGTCCATACAGGTTCACACTTATGTGGGAACTTAATAAGCTTCTGCCGATGATCAATTACCTTCATTGGTGGTGCACATTTCTTAGCTTGACATTTGAATTACCTTCCATTGTTTGTTGTTATAAGCACATGTTGTTGAAGACTCATTCAATTCCTTGGTTACAGGTATGCTTTACATGTTCTGTGTTATTATGATGTAATAGATGTTTGTTTCTATAGTTGCAACCGTTAAATGTACCTTGTTCTTGATCTAGAGTAAACCTGTCATGTTTGAGTTCGCTACAGTGTTGCGATTCAATAAACCAGTCAGGTTTGCCTATTGAAAATGCAGATTTAATTCCATCTATAAAATGCACTTTATTTGTACTTCAATTTCCCTGAAGTGCATGTTAATTTACTTTTTGTTCCCTGTGATAGGGGAGAAAATGTGTTGACAGGTAATTGCTATTTCAGGCCTATTTTATGAGACAAATATATATTTAATCTTAATTTCTGCGAATGAAACATTGTCCTGCATACAGGACGGAAATACTACTGAATTTGTAAATCATTTTATTTTTATTTTTTCATTGACCAAATTTGCAAAGGCAAAACAAGCACACAAGCTCCTACTGCTGCCATGATCATAACAGGAAATGCACATTAAAGCAGTACCCATGTAAAGGGAAGTAACTGCATGCTATATTCTTTACTGTTATGTTTAGTATTGCAGCATTTCACCGTGGAGTTAATGTGCTCAAGATTTTACCTTTTAAGTTTCATGTAATTAGTTTATTGCATCAATAATATTATCCATTGTATTATTTACCATTTCAATTTTAGATTTTAATTAATGACTCCGTTAATGAGTCCATGGAGATATATAGGCTAAGGGACTGGCCATTTATTATAAGGTGGGGCAGGATTGGTTTTAGGACTGTATCATATTGCTGACAACTCACACCCACCCCACCACTCCCTATATACTAATTCATGAACGCCCCCCACCCATGTTCAAAATTATAATTTTTTAACTTATTCTATCTCACACTATGCATTTCTTCTTTCTTCTTTTGAACCTGGTGTGCAAACGCCCTAGAACAAAGTTTCCAGCTTCAAAATATATTGCACCCAAGTACCAGACGTGCCAGAGTCTGTAGAGAATTATTTTTATCCCCCGCCCAACAAAGTTGGTGGGGGAGATAGAAACGGGCTCCGTCCGTCATGTTTCGTTTCCTCCAACAGATAGATAACTTACATGGCACTTTATAATGGGAACTGAAAAAGCAAAACAACCCGTTTGTCAACAGTGTACACTCACATTTTCATCCTACCATCCATATACTTTATGCTGTGATTGTCATGGTTTATGCAAGCATGCACGCTGATGTTCTCTGTGCTCCCATTTATCAGAGGAAGATTCTAAAAAATATTTTCGCAAGTGTCAAAAAAAGGCACTGTTGACTGGTGATAGAAATCCAGAGACTTTAAACATGGACCGTCATATTCTAAAAAGCTGAAACGAGTTACAAGGCGTCTGTTCTCTTCCTCATCTACCATCACTTCACTATCAGTGGTGCGGCGTTAAAGAACAAACAATCACTATCAGTGGAAGATGATATCATATCTGACAGTTTCCTAAAGGAGGATATTCCTGCCAAAACAGCAACTACGACTGGTCCCAGTGCACCTGACGACATATCAGTGATTGCTCAACCACCTATGACATATAGTTGACAGTTCTTTCCAAGGACAGCTCCTCCCCTTGGTTACAATGATCACCACTGAGAAGCCTCCCAGCATACCTCAACTATGAATTGTCTTTCCCTCCCCATCTTCTCATTCGAAATGTTCCAGCAGAAGTCAGAAGTTGCCAACCCCTCACAAGACAAAGTCTCACCCCAGACACATAATGAACAGTCACAGACTATAGAGATTGAAGTATCAGGCTCCCCTTCATCTTCTCAACAAAGACGGGCTTTCCTCCCACATTAAGCTGACACGCTGACATTAAGCTGATATAACTGGAATAATGTTTAAGGCGGCGTTAAACCCAACTCACTCACTCACTCACACTTCTGAGACAGAGCAACATCGGTGTTCTAAGGATCGACAGAAATCTAACTTCTAAGAATTCTAAGCATTCTTAGAGGAATAAACAGTGACAGTTGGGCCAATATCGTACTGAGAAGGAATATTGATCCGACACTTCGCTATTATACAACCTACATATCACTCTTACTCAAAAGAGCAAGGTTGATCCCAACCTTCAGAACGCAAGGCCAGATCTCGATCCTGGGATTCAGATCTACAGTGACATGCATATCGACATTCCCCTGAAGATGGACATTGATGTAGCGACATATCATAGCTGGTATCGACATCAACACTACTCTTATAGAAAAGATACTCGTAGAAAGAATTCAGTATCCACAGTCCCACTAGCAGATCTCTGTTTCTTTCTACGGAACGGACCCAACCCTGGGATACTCATACCAGACAGGATCCGCCTAGTGGTCAACCTTAGCTACTTCTTGCGATCACTGGGATCAACCAGTCCTATCATCCACAGATTTTGACTCGCTGTTGCAAGCCATAACTACACCTTTACAACCCTGGACTGGCCAGAAGACCTTACCTCCTCGGTCACTACAGTTAATAACTTGTTGTCTGCTCAAGGGTATCCTGATAACAATATGGACCTATGTCACTTCAATGTTACAACATTACTGCCATATGTCACTTTGATTACAGAAATAGTCGCTCTAATGAGGATCATCTGACGGGCTTCGTAGTTCCTAACTCAGCTTCATCTGCCATCACAATACCTCCCAAGCAAATCATGTCTGACCTCACCCAGAATCTCGCCCAGACGTTTATGTTATTTCTTAAACAAGAGGACCAGATGTTGCCTCCCAGTTTCATTTTGACAGATTGTGGTACACATGGCGTGTTAACTACTGTATGGCGCTTGTCCATGACAAATTCCAGAGAATTATTGACCTCTTGTCTCACTACATGGGTACTGTTTCAGTGTTACGCCACTGTGATCTCCTTCAATACAGCCTCTAGGAAGATCATTTTAAGGTGTGCCTTTATCAGCTGCCTTGGTCCACTCCTTAATTATTCATTAACAATATCCAGGAGATTGCCCAGAATGTCACAAATGAGAGTCATTTACTAGGTTTGGTGGATCTTCTCAAATTACAGAGACAACACAGTTAACAAGATCCAGAATATTGCCCAGAATGTGACTAAGGAGACTCATTTACAAGTATCGGTGGATCCTCTCAAATTAACGCTTGGAGGAAGGTCAACAACGCAAGGAATGATGTTGTCCTCAATTCACCATATCACAGTGAGACCTCTGTGAAGTACTTGTAAACACTGGCTCCTTTTGTGGCAGAGGTCAATGACACCAAGGACAATTGAGCTACAAGTCGTCAAGTACCAGAAAAGTTTTCTTTACTTCAGCAAAGGAAGCTGGAGAGTCGGCCAAGCTGGACAGGCATGTCCCGCAACCCCTAGGTTTTACTCACCGATTTTCCTGGTCCAAAGAAAGACAGCAACAAGCTTCGAATGATTTTCAACATGAAGATTTTCAGCGTGCAGTACCTCGAAGCGACGACAAATTTACGCATGATTTTCATTGCACTGCTGTGTACGATCATCCCTCCAAGAGACTAAATGGTCAGCCTGGACCTACAAGACACTTATCTTCATTGGTATCGCCATTACCTCTGGTTCATATTCAAGGTCAGCATTACTGGTGGAAAGTCTCCTGTTTTGAATATCCCCAGCCCCGGGCCTTTTCACCAATATTACAAAGCCAATCACGCAATTCCTTCACAGTCAGATGATTATTTTCCAAGTTTATATGGAAGACTGCATTCAAGACCACGAAGACCAGTCAACTCTTGTGAAGCACCTTGAGTTCACTCAGAAGCTACTTATACAGCTAGTGTGGCTGGTCAACGTTTTGAAGTCCGAGAAAACTCCTGCTCAACTTCTTGAGATAATAACTGTATTCAACATGAAGCTCTGTAAGATGTTCATCCCCCTGGAAGATGGCCGATGGAGTCTCTTTGAACCCATTCATCCCAACCCATCAGTTGTTCATCTACGCCTCAACAGTGGGTTGGGGAGCTCACCTTCTGTATGTTCAATTGGCAGGGCTTTGGTACGTAGACAAAATGAAACAATGAAACTCCATATCAACAACTTGGAATTCGAGGCATTAATTTTGGCAATATCTCTTTGGGCCGAGATTCACAGTGCATCACAACTCATGATCCAGTAGTTTGGTACATAAACAAGATGGGCAATAGAGTTCTTCCGTCTCTTTGACTCCCTTTGCATATAGGCTTTTCGGGCAAGGCACATCCCAGAGATCCACAAATGTCATATTGGACACTCTGTCCCGACAGATCAACCATCCCTGACGGAATGCCATCTCCAATTGACAATTTTTTCGGTGGATTTGCCACCTTTATCCAAGCCCAGAAGTTGACCTCTTCCCAACATCTTTGACTGCTTGTGGTTGGTAAACATCACAGAGAGGAGATGCCATCGTCTTCCACTGCATAGACATGCCCCATTTGCCCTATAAGTTACCAGTCCCTTTAGTTTTTATCATGCTGATAGGCCAGAAAATCATTGAAGATAACATGAATCATTTCTATGTGCCTATTATGTATGTAGATAGTCATATAATTTCTTATTTTTCAGTCGCTTGATGGCTTTGAAAAGAATGGGCATAGTTGATAACTATGAGGTATGTATGCTCCATTGGACTGATGATGTGAAACCATTCAAGGTGTTTGATACTCATTTCCCCCAGGCAAGGGAGGTAACTGTCTATTAAAACTAGACTGGAATTTCTGGGCTCGATCGTAGCGCCACCAGTGGCTATAACAAGTTATGTCCTTTCTATGTACCTCCTATTGACCAATCAGATTCCACCTCTCATATCACTTGCATTGCTTCAAACAAAATGGTTGTGCCCAGTCAAGACAATCTGATCGATAACCAAAATCTATTTTGTGATAAAACAGGTCTTACTTCACGAAGTGCATCAAATCACGTGAACACCTTGAATAAAAACCTGAAATATCTGTTGATGCCAAGTTGGCAGTACACATGCTTTGCAAGTCCTGCAATCTATCGAAATCTGCACGGCGGTTTACTAACCATTTGTCGATTTTGTTGCACAAATTCGAGTGAGTGGACTTTGCATAGACTCGTTAGTCCAGCCAAAATATATAGCTCCATAATTCCAGCCCTGTTTGGCACGGGTGGAGACTGGACATTTACAGTAAGTTAACTCCTTTGCTTTGGGAAGATGTTTGATACTATGAAACAATTATATTACATGTACTTACTGAGAGTGGTGAAAACCTCCCTTGCTCACCTTATGTCGGGTGTTCACCTGACAAGCAAATGATCAAGTGAACAGATCAAAATGCTTATTTATCTTTTGTGTTTTTATGTCAAACATTTTGTCTGACATTGTTAAAACTGTGTTAATTTCCCTACTTTATTGTGCCATAAGCAAAAACATACAGGAAGTATTAAAATTAACAAACATTGCTTGTAAATACCTTGGTGTTTTCAGACAGTTTGTTGACCTCTCATTCAAAGAGCAAAATGCCAGCATTACCATGGTCACCATGTGTTATATACTGAATGCCATTAATAACCAAACTCGGGGTTTATATTTTGTTGACTAAAAGATAGGAAAAGAACCATCCACAACGATTCAATATAACAATCATCAGTGAATAATTTCATGACGTCCATATCGGTAGCACTGTCAGAGATGTCAGGAGTAATCAGGTCAGAATCCTGGCACGATGAGCATGTGCATTATCATCTTAAAAAATGAAACCTCAGAGCTGGAGATGAGCTGCGTATTGGCGTAAAATACACATTAAATAAATTGAAATATGCAGACAAATAAAATCCTAGCATATCAAATATGCAGCAAAAACTAAAAATACGCTATTGAAATAAAATTAATGTGTAAATTACAACTATTAGATAAAACCATGCGTATATTAAACTTTTAGATAAAATGATTGTGTATCAGCTGATTGTGAAATTCACTTACCGACAGTTACATTCGGAAAAGCTTGTGCGACAAGCATACTGATTGATGCCAATTGAAAAGCACATCATGCCTAGTCAATTTATCACCCAACACTGGCTCCCACAGGAGATATGCTTGGATGAGATCAAGCGATATCTTCATTGTAGACCATTGTGACGTCATTGGTTACCATGACATCACGATCAAATGACATCACTAATGGCTCGGCTGCTGAAGCTGTTAGCAGTACTTTTTGCCACGGGACCATATATGGTCCTGTAAAAATGTCCCAATTCAACTGTAAATTAAGATATCAAACACTGAGTGTGCACAATCAAAATTATAACCATCTTCACTCTAATCACTCTCAGCTTTTATATCGTGTAACTCATATTTTATACAATGCTACAGATTACGAAATATGGTGAGATTAGTAAAGTGGTTACCCCGCTTCTTGACTTTTTTTTCATGCGAATGACGGTGATTTTTTTTTTTATTATGCACACGGTGCTAGAGATGAAACGACAGCGCAAATTGTCTTTCTGTTAATGATGCTCATTTACAGAAATTATTCAAATCTAAGGTATGAAAAGATCAAATATAATAATGTGCACTTATAATATGTGCTAGCCTCCATGTAGCAGTTCATGCTGAAACCTCTACACCATTATTACCCTCAATGGATCTGTGAGCAACTGATTTTCATTCTCAGCTCTCTGGAGAGTATACAACCAGAGAAGGCGCTGGAAGGTTAACAGCCACATCACCATAAAATCTAACCCTTATGTCTTTTGATGTCATATAAAAAAAGTGGATAACTCCTCGACAAACCTCTGAGTTTTCCCACTTTTATCAACTTGTGTTGATATATTTGATATCAAAAGACACTCGGGTGAGATTCCCTATGTACATGTTGTATCCTAGACAGTTGCTGATTGGTGATTCAAAAAAGCGTCTTTCTTACTATGCTTACTTTTGCAAACAGAAAAGCAAACCAAAATAGCTTCCCCGAGAGGGAGCCGCAGGCAGACACAGAAGGATATACTACTATTCACATAGTTTTAGGTGATTAAAGGGATTGTTATGAAACAGGTTTTAAGTTAAAATACCCAAATGTCAAGAAACAGGTGGGTAAAAAATATTTGAATTCCTGCTTAAAATTGTGGATACCCAATCAAAATCAAAGCTTATCTGGAGTTCTGAACCTTGCCTGACATGTTCTGCAAATGGCATCGTGAGTGGTACAAGGATGTTGTTCCTTTGGTATTGACTCTCTCACAACTGAGTCTTGAGTGTCAATGGTAAATCAAGCATACCACCTCTTGCACATGCTGTCTGAGGTCACATGTTTCGTACCAACAAAATGGATTGAATGGTCAGACTCTGTGACTTGATTGCATGTCATCGTAGCCCAACGGCATGGATTGAGCCCATAATATGCGTCACTAGATTTTCTGGTCCTGACTCAGTTATTTACAGACCACCATCACATACCTGGAATATTGCTGAGTGCAACATTAAACAACATACAATACTAGCATTAAAATGAACATTTAGGAATCGATGAGTCCATCGATGAGTCCTTATTGTGATGTCCAAAATGTTGAGCCTGAAACATGGAATCAGTTCTAGTCCATGAATGTTAATTGTCAACACTTTTCTTTGTTTTGCCTGAAAGAAAATCCGTGATTTCACTGTGGCTGTTGTTGGTGTTGGTGGAGTTGGGAGTGTGACAGCAGAGATGTTGGCCAGATGTGGCATAGGAAAGGTACTGTGGCAATTATTTACCATGCAATAATTCACCAGGCTCATAGAATGAGAAATATAACTTCAACCCTCAATGTGTACCCCAATAAGTTATAAAGTAATAACAACAAAAAGAGGTCCTAATGGGTGAATGTTTGCTAGCTCTGCTTGAACACAGTCCAGGAAGTCCAGGAGCAACAATAACTTGAGGTAGAGCTAGCTAACATTCACCTGTGTGAACCTCTTTTGTTGTTCCTCAGCTTCTACCGGTACTCTATGACTTGTTCTAATCATCATATGGCTGAACTACTGCTGATGTGGCTATAAATTAACTCACTCATTCACCCTTTTTGTTGTTCCTTAGCTTCTACTATTTGACTACGACAAGGTAGAGCTGGCTAACATGAACAGACTCTTCTATCAGCCAAGCCAGGCTGGTATGAGTAAAGTGGAAGCAGCAGAACGCACACTCAGGTCTGTCACATCTCAGTGTGTCTAGCAGACAGCAGAACACACACTCAGATGGGTGCATGACATCTCCACATGTATAGTAGACAGCAGAACACACACTCAGATTGGTGCATGACATCTCCACGTGTCTGGCAGACAGCGAACACACTCAGATGGGTGCATGACATCTCCATGTGTCTAGTAGACAGCAAAACACACTCAGATGGGTGCATGACATTTCTATGTGCCTAGCAGACAGCAGAACACACACTGAGATGGGTGCATGACATCTCCATGTGTCTAGCAGACAGCAGAACACACACTGAGATGGGTGCATGACATCTCCACGTGTCTAGCAGACAGCAGAACGCACACTCAGATAGGTGCATGACATCTCCACATGTCTAGCATACAGAAGAACACACACTCAGATGGGTGCATGACATCTCCATGTGTCTAGTAGACAGCAGAACACACACTCAGATGGGAGCATGACATCTCCATGTGTCTAGCAGACAGCAGATCACGCACTCAGATGGGTACATGGCATCTCCATGTGTCTAGTAGACAGCAAAACACACTAGGATGGCTGCATGACATCTCCATGTGTCTTGCAGACAGCAGAACACATACTCAGATTGGTGCATGACATCTCCATGTGTCTAGCAGACAACAGAACACACACTCAGATGGGTGCATGACATCTCCATGTGTCTAGTTGACAGCAGAACACACACTGAGATGGGTGCATGACATCTCCACGTGTCTAGCAGACAGCAGAACACACACTCAGATGGTTGCACGACATCTCCACATGTCTAGCAGACAGAAGAACACACACTCAGATGGGTGCATGACATCTCCATGTGTCTAGTAGACAGCAGAACACACACTCAGATGGGAGCATGACATCTCCATGTGTCTTGCAGACAGCAGAACACACACTCAGATGGATGCATGACATCTCCACGTGTCTAGCAGACAGCAGAACACATACTGAGATGGGTGCATGACATCTCCACATGTCTAGCATACAGCAGAACACACACTCAGATGGTTGCATGACATCTCCATGTGTCTAGCAGACAGCAGAACACACACTGAGATGGTTGCACGACATCTCCACATGTCTAGCAGACAGCAGAACACACACTGAGATGGTTGCACGACATCTCCACATGTCTAGCAGACAGCAGAACACACACTCAGATGGTTGCATGACATCTCCACATGTATAGCAGACAGCAGAACACACACTCAGATGGGAGCATGACATCTCCACGTGTCTAGCAGACAGCAGAACACACACTCAGATGGATGCATGACATCTCCATGTGTCTAGCAGACAGCAGAACACATACTCAGATGGGTGCATGACATCTCCATGTGTCTAGCAGACAGCAGAACACATACTCAGATGGGTGCATGACATTTCAACGTGTCTAGTAGACAGCAGAACACACACTGAGATGGGTGCATGACATCTCCATGTGTCTAGTAGACAGCAAAACACACTCAGAATGGTGCATGACATCTCCATGTGTCTAGCAGACAGCAGAACGCACACTCAGATAGGTGCATGACATCTCCATGTGTCTAGCAGACAGCAGAACACACACTCAGATGGGTGCATGACATTTCTATGTGTCTAGTAGACAGCAGAACACACACTCAGATGGGTGCATGACATCTCCATGTGTCTAGTAGACAGCAAAACACACTCAGAATGGTGCATGACATCTCCATGTGTCTAGCAGACAGCAGAACGCACACTCAGATAGGTGCATGACATCTCCATGTGTCTAGCAGACAGCAGAACACACACTCAGATGGGTGCATGACATTTCTATGTGTCTAGTAGACAGCAGAACACACACTCAGATGGGTGCATGACATCTCCACGTGTCTAGCAGCCAGCAGAACACACACTCAGATGGGTGCATGACATCTCCATGTGTCTAGTAGACAGCAAAACACACTCAGATGGGTGCATGACATCTCCATGTGTTAAGCAGACAGCAGAACACACACTCAGATGGGTGCATGACATCTCAACGTGTCTAGCAGACAGCAGAACACACACTCAGATAGATGCATGACATCTCCATGTGTCTAGCAGACAGCAGATCACGCACTCAGATGGGTACATGGCATCTCCATGTGTCTAGTAGACAGCAAAACACACTAGGATGGCTGCATGACATCTCCATGTGTCTTGCAGACAGCAGAACACATACTCAGATTGGTGCATGACATCTCCATGTGTCTAGCAGACAACAGAACACACACTCAGATGGGTGCATGACATCTCCATGTGTCTAGTAGCCAGCAGAACACATACTCAGATGGGTGCATGACATCTCCATGTGTCTAGTAGACAGCAGAACACATACTCTGATGGGTGCATGACATCTCCATGTGTCTAGCAGACAGCAGAACACACACTGAGATGGGTGCATGACATCTCAGTGTGTCTAGTAGACAGCAGAACACACACTCAGATGGGTGCATATCATCTCCACGTGTTTAGCAGACAGCAGAACACACACTCAGATGTGTGCATGACATCTCCATGTGTCTAGTAGACACCAGAACACACACTCAGATTGGTGCATAACATCTCCACATGTCTAGGAGACGGCAAAACACACTCAGATGGGTGCATGATATCTCCATGTGTCTAGCAGACAGCAGAACACATACTCAGATGGGTGCATGACATCTGCATTTGTCTAGTAGACAGCAGAACACACACTCAGATGGGTGCATGACATCTCCACGTGTCTAGCAGACAGCAGAACACATACTGAGATGGGTGCATGACATCTCCACATGTCTAGCATACAGCAGAACACACACTCAGATGGTTGCATGACATCTCCATGTGTCTAGCAGACAGCAGAACACACACTGAGATGGTTGCACGACATCTCCACATGTCTAGCAGACAGCAGAACACACACTGAGATGGTTGCACGACATCTCCACATGTCTAGCAGACAGCAGAACACACACTCAGATGGTTGCATGACATCTCCACATGTATAGCAGACAGCAGAACACACACTCAGATGGGAGCATGACATCTCCACGTGTCTAGCAGACAGCAGAACACACACTCAGATGGATGCATGACATCTCCATGTGTCTAGCAGACAGCAGAACACATACTCAGATGGGTGCATGACATCTCCATGTGTCTAGCAGACAGCAGAACACATACTCAGATGGGTGCATGACATTTCAACGTGTCTAGTAGACAGCAGAACACACACTGAGATGGGTGCATGACATCTCCATGTGTCTAGTAGACAGCAAAACACACTCAGAATGGTGCATGACATCTCCATGTGTCTAGCAGACAGCAGAACGCACACTCAGATAGGTGCATGACATCTCCATGTGTCTAGCAGACAGCAGAACACACACTCAGATGGGTGCATGACATTTCTATGTGTCTAGTAGACAGCAGAACACACACTCAGATGGGTGCATGACATCTCCATGTGTCTAGTAGACAGCAAAACACACTCAGAATGGTGCATGACATCTCCATGTGTCTAGCAGACAGCAGAACGCACACTCAGATAGGTGCATGACATCTCCATGTGTCTAGCAGACAGCAGAACACACACTCAGATGGGTGCATGACATTTCTATGTGTCTAGTAGACAGCAGAACACACACTCAGATGGGTGCATGACATCTCCACGTGTCTAGCAGCCAGCAGAACACACACTCAGATGGGTGCATGACATCTCCATGTGTCTAGTAGACAGCAAAACACACTCAGATGGGTGCATGACATCTCCATGTGTTAAGCAGACAGCAGAACACACACTCAGATGGGTGCATGACATCTCAACGTGTCTAGCAGACAGCAGAACACACACTCAGATAGATGCATGACATCTCCATGTGTCTAGCAGACAGCAGATCACGCACTCAGATGGGTACATGGCATCTCCATGTGTCTAGTAGACAGCAAAACACACTAGGATGGCTGCATGACATCTCCATGTGTCTTGCAGACAGCAGAACACATACTCAGATTGGTGCATGACATCTCCATGTGTCTAGCAGACAACAGAACACACACTCAGATGGGTGCATGACATCTCCATGTGTCTAGTAGCCAGCAGAACACATACTCAGATGGGTGCATGACATCTCCATGTGTCTAGTAGACAGCAGAACACATACTCTGATGGGTGCATGACATCTCCATGTGTCTAGCAGACAGCAGAACACACACTGAGATGGGTGCATGACATCTCTGTGTGTCTAGTAGACAGCAGAACACACACTCAGATGGGTGCATATCATCTCCACGTGTTTAGCAGACAGCAGAACACACACTCAGATGTGTGCATGACATCTCCATGTGTCTAGTAGACACCAGAACACACACTCAGATTGGTGCATAACATCTCCACATGTCTAGGAGACGGCAAAACACACTCAGATGGGTGCATGATATCTCCATGTGTCTAGCAGACAGCAGAACACATACTCAGATGGGTGCATGACATCTGCATTTGTCTAGAAGACAGCAGAACACACACTCAGATTGGTGCATGACATCTCCATGCGTCTAGTAGACAGCAGAACACATACTCAGATGGGTGCATGACATCTCCATGTGTCTAGTAGACAGCAAAACACACTCAGATGGGTGCATGACATCTCCATGTGTTAAGCAGACAGCAGAACACACACTCAGATGGGTGCATGACATCTCAACGTGTCTAGCAGACAGCAGAACACACACTCAGATAGATGCATGACATCTCCATGTGTCTAGCAGACAGCAGATCACGCACTCAGATGGGTACCTGGCATCTCCATGTGTCTAGTAGACAGCAAAACACACTAGGATGGCTGCATGACATCTCCATGTGTCTTGCAGACAGCAGAACACATACTCAGATTGGTGCATGACATCTCCATGTGTCTAGCAGACAACAGAACACACACTCAGATGGGTGCATGACATCTCCATGTGTCTAGTAGCCAGCAGAACA